TGTGGGGCAGAGCCGGGGAGGGTGAAGGGGGGATGAAGAGAGATCTGGGCACCAGGGAATGAGCAATAGATAGAAGCTGTCCAGCCAGAGAAGAGGTGCTCCCATCTTCCCACTGCTTGGCTGAGCTAAGCCCCGCGATCCTGGCTTCCCTGCTGGGGGCCCACAGCGTGTCTAGACACAGGGGTCGTCCAGGGAAAACGTGGCTTCCCCGATTTCCCAGGGGAGAGGGAGAGAATAAAGCCAGGTTGGAGGGGGGGGATATAGGCAACATTAGCAGGAGCTAGTAGGGGTGTCACAGACAGTAGAGCAAGGCCTGGAGAGGGGGAGATGAGCCTGCCACTAGTGGGGGGGGGGGCTTTGGTGGGTCTGAGCCCACCAATCCGCCTCCTTGTCAACACTTGCTTCTGATTGAAAAATCAGATCTCCCCCACCCGCCCCACCGCCAGACCTCCTGCTCCCCTGGCTGGCTAGGCCTCCGCAGCGGCCAGGGCCTTTTGCCCCCGGAGGAGGGGGGGTTAATAGAGGGGAAGGAATGAAGAAAGCCAGCCGGCCTGACAGGCACTTCCTTCCCCCTGGGCCTGGATTAGCGGCCAGGCCTTTCATCTCTGGCAGGGAGAGCCGGGGGCTGTGTGGGGTTGTCACACGCTGCCATCCAGGGGACCTCGGAGACCGTGTGTCATGCCGGCAGGCGGAACCGAACCGGCGGCCTCTGGCGCTTAGTGCATGAGTCTCTACAGCTTGAACGAAAAGCCAGCTAGCGCTCAGCTAAGGCCATAGAGCAGACTTCTTCTGTCATTGGCCAGTGCACCACGTCCAGTAGGTGTGGGGGTCACACGTGCAGCTGGACAAGAGGAAGGGTGTCAGGGGCGCTCTCGAGTTCTGGGCTTCATACCACCCTCTGCCCTGAAGAGCAGGGATTTTCCTCAGTCCATTTGGCCCGTCAGCGCTTCGGAGCTGAGCGGTGCTCTTGTTCCACGTCGGCACAACACCCGTTACCCCACAGCCCGTGCCTCGCTCTTGGCCTGAAGGGTGCCTGGAAGGGGGAAAAGAGCAGAAAGAAGGAAGGCTGGCCTGCTAGGACTCCAAAGACCAGCCCGCTGCTCTGCCACAGTTTCCCTGTGTGGCGCTGCCTACCGTGCCTCAGTTTCCCCACTGCCAACGGCCTCGCCTCACTACGCAGAGCCAGGGGCCTGGTGCTGAAGCCGGGCTCACCGGATTGGTCTCCCTTTGTGGCCCATCGGTGGGGGAGACGCGTCGTGTTCGCTGAGCACCCAATGCAGGCCTTCACGGGGGTGCGTGCAAAACCACAACTCTTCTGCTCAGATCTGTGCCCTAGGCTTTGGGCCTCTCCCTGTTTGTCGGCAGGGCAGGGTCAGCCAGAGGCTCCGACACCACAGACAAGAGGCTGTGCTCTGCCCGACCCTGTCGCAGACTCAACTGGGGGCGACTTGGCAACCCCGCTGTGCACGTGGGGAAACTGAGGCACGGAGCGGCAGCGCCTCACCCAAGGGCACACAGGGAGACTGTGGCAGAGCAGAGAGCCGGTCCCTGGAGTCCTAGCAGGCCAGCCTTCCTCCTTTCTGCTCTTTTGCCCCTTCCAGGCACCCTTCAGGCCAAGAGCGAGGCACCGACTGCAGGGTAACAGATACATTGCTGACCAGTCCCTTGGCTGTCCCCATTTGCTACTGTATTCCCTTAAGGAAACACTCAGGTGGCATCTATCACTTGTCAGAGGTGGCTCTTGGCATGTTAACAAAGGAGGACAGTACTTGTATCACAGCTATACAGGTGGGGAAACTGACACACAGGGCGGTCCAGTGACTTGGTCAAGGGCACCCAGCAGTGCAGTGGCAGAGCTAGGAACAGAAGCCAGGTTTGGGGATTCCCAGTGGAAATACTACAGGACCTGCCCGCCTCCAAAATATCCCCCGCTCTCCCCCCCACGACTCATGGGGTAGGAGCAGGACCTAGATAAAAGCGATACCCGGCTCTGTGTGATTCGGGGACAGGCCGTGGGTGGGCGTAACCAGCATGGCTCTCACCTCTGCCGTCTGCTCCGGCTGAAGTAAAGCAGAGCAGGACCCCAGCCCTGCAGCCGGGAGGCAGGGGAGAGCGGGAAGAGGGTTGTTCCTCCAAAAATGGTGCTCCGCTCTCTCGCTTTCCCTCACTTCTCCAGAGGCGAGTGGGCTCTCGCACGTAACCCCAGCTGATCCAAAGCTGGAGGGAGAGCTCCAGCCCCCAGACCACCGGGCGTGCCCCATC